ATAATTCAGTATAAACTTTTCCCAAAATAATAATTCAAAAGTTATGAAAATGGCACAATTTTTCTCTCTAAAATGGCACTAATTTAGTTTATAACTCACTACAATTTTTTGTGTTGCAATATCTTTCTCAAGCGGTACTCTTAATTATTTTATGATAATCCAAAATTATATTTCCCTAAAACAGAAAACAAAATTTTAAATCATTATATTTTTATAAACAAATTGAGATAAATCTCTAACAAGAGTGTATTGTTATACTTTAAAAATATTAATTTTAAATTTAAAATTAAAAAAAGAAAAAAAGTAAATTTGTATAAAATAATCTCACCTTTCATTTATTTGTAAAAAACAAGCATTTTCCAAAAATTCCATTAAGTTATCGTCAATTTCTTAACGGAAATCCAAAAATCGCACACATGCAAAAAGGTGAAATTATTTTCGATGATAGTGAAAAGTGAGATTATTTTTTAAAAAACGTGAAAAAGTGAAATTATTTATGATAGTTTTTTCCTTACAACTATTACAATAGATGTATATTCATACATCCTCAATCTATTTAATTCAGTTTGTAGAGTTCTTTTAGTTGAGTTTGAACTTGTGACCTCCTCTATATATGAAAGTTCACCATAATATCCATATATGACAATGACCTTATTTGGATGTTGGCTGACAGCTGATCGTTGTTGGCAGTTCGTGCCAGCTGTTACGAATGGCTATTTAGTTTAGCTGGTTTGACCGGCAGGATGAGTTGGCTCATCGTTAAAAATGTTTTTGAAAATAGTTCCAATACACACACACACCATATTTGTTTTTCATTTTTTTACATGTAAAAACTAAATCTTTACTATATGGAGTATTAAATTTTACTTTAATTTTATTCATAAGAAATTATTAATAAACTTTTTAATGATTTTTACCTTTTATTTTCTCATCTCATTTTTTTTGAAATTTTTAAATTTTAAATTAATTTTTTTTGTTTTGAATTTTTTTAAATTTTATTTTTATTTTTTACGTATAATATAGGATATCTTTCAAGAAAAATGATTTTAAAAAAATTAATTTTCCTAACAACCAAGTGTCAAGTCCAAATGCTACTGTTTTTGGCTTTTCAGATTTTGGCTTTTCGGATCAAAATGCCAAGCGAAAAAGTATTTAGTCAAACAATGATTTTGGTTGCTCACTTACGGCCTGTTTGGGAATAGCTTTGGCGATTAGCGTTAGCGTTTTGAAAAAGTTATCTACTCGCGTTAGCATTTTCAAAATAATCTGTACTGTTAAAATTTTATCCAAAATGCTAACGCTAATCTCTAACGCTATTCCCAAACATGCAATAAGTCAAAAAAGCCAAAGTTAATCGAAGATGCCAAAAACTATTTGAAAAGCTATTTTCCAAACACCACCAATGTCTTGGGCAATAGTGGGTATACTTCATCCGCCATTTGTTCTTTGTTTTTTAATTTTTTTATTTAGAAAAAGGTTGAAATCAATACATTAAGATTTGATTGATCATACGAAGTATAAGATAGCTCTCATACTTTTCTATGCGCCAATTAATAGTTTGAGAAATCGCTAGAGTTTGCATTGTGAGACACTTAGGAGTTGTTTGTTTCAACCTCTTAATGGTTCAGATGTCTGAATGGTTCATCAGCACTTAATGGTTCAGACTGTTTGTTTCAGCCTCTTAATGGTTCAGATGTCTGAATGGTTAAGAGATTTGCCACTGAATGATTAAGTATTATACAGAGTCTGAATGGTTAAAACCTCTTATCTGAAATGATCAGACATTTGTCTCTGAATAGTTAAGCAATATACTAGCTCTTAATGGTTCAGACCTCTTACTGGTTCAACGCTTAATGGTTCAGATCTCTTACTGGTTCAACACTTACCTATTCAGAAGTTGCCAAACAGCCCCTTAATGATAACCTATTATTTTTGGTACTAATATTAATCTAATTAAATCATTTTTTGTGCTAATCTCGAATATAACTTTTTTTAAATATTCTTTCTGTCCCAAAATGACTTACATGAAAATAAAAACGAGGCGAAATCCAAGTTTTAAAAATTTATGTTAGAGTTCATCTCACATCGGAAGTCCAAGAGTAAAATAATCTGGTATATAAGCTCTTGAGTTAAACTAACTAATCGATTGGATTCAATCTTTTAATGTGGTTCAACCCAAGTGTCTTATTGCCCAATCCAATTGTCCATACCCATCCTAAATTATATCATGGTATCAGAGCAGGTTTTGGAACACCTCGTTTGTCAAGGTGTCCGTCTAGACGTTCATTCCTAGCGGTCCGTTAGTCTTTAGCCCAGTTGCCCGTATGAAGTATGTACCCAACGGCCTGTGGCCCGTTTAACACGATTGCTCGTCTGAAAGTCCATACCCAGCGGCTCGTGGTCCTTTAAGTGTTGGCGCTCAAAAAAAAGTCAAGGGAATGAGAGTTCATTTGCAAGTGTTCAACCGGTTAGATTCAAAATGGCCCGGTTGTCCACTTGAGGGGGAGTGATAGAGTGCATCCCACATCGGAAGT